AGGTCGGCAGAACAAAGCAGGCTCCAGAACAACAACACAGCTACACACAGGGTCCAAGTGTGCCATAAGCTAGAGACCATTCCCAAAGCTGCTTCTTATATACAGGAAGCAGACCACATACCCAAAGCAGCTACTCAGCTGCTTGTGGTAGATCCCACCATGGAGATGATTGCCAGTCTCATCATGGGGAATGACTACCACCAGCTGCCCAGCCACTCAACCAGGCCCAGCCAAGTTGACACACAAACATAACCACCACAGAAGGACATAGGGAAGGGGTAACTATGGGGAGGAAGTGGGAGGGGAGCCACTGTGTTGTGGGAAATTGCAGTCAATGTCATGAGACAAAGTGTATATGAGCTGCTGTATGGAAAGTGAATTTGCTCTGTAAACTTTTTCACCCAAATCACAATAAAAATTTTTAAAAGAGAGAGAGATATAAAATTTTCATTGAACAAAGAACCAATAGGCCCTGGTCAGTGAGGGCTGCTCCATGTTAGCCTTGGGAGAAGGAATAGAGCCCCTTGCCACCCTGGGTAGAATGAGCGGAAGCAGCCCCACAGGGACCAGGGACACAGTGTCACCCAGGAAGGCCTCTCTCCCACCGTGGGTAGGAGATGGGAAGGATGTGTTCATCATGTCATGTGCATGCTGGGTAGGGAAGGAGCTGCCCAACATGTCTTGTGCTTTGCCCTTCAGCAAGGACCCACAAATACAAGTGGATTTCCACGTTGGAAGTGACGAGAAGTCAGACATTGCCTTCCATCTCCGAATCTACTTTGGCAACTGGGTGGTGATGAACAGCCGTCAGGATGGGGGTTGGAGGTGTGAGGCAAGGTCCTCCCACATGCCCTTTGTGGATGGCAGACCCTTTGACCTGCGCATCTTGGTACTGCATAACGAATACCAGGTGAGTGTCCAGGGGACACCCAACTACCCGGCCTCAGGGGGTTCTCAGAGGGGACGAACCTCTACAAGGTCTGGCCCCAAGAGGGCCTCGGGGTCCATCTCAAGGACTCCTCCTCCTCAGGCTTTCAGTCACAGAGCACCCTCTGCTTCTACTGCCATTCTCTGTCCTTTCCCACATCTGCCTGGGGTGACAGTCAGCTCACAGGCCATTTCTCCAAGCTGGAGAATTTCTTCTGTCTTCACCCACAGCTATCATTTCTACCAGTCCTGTTGTTTGAATTTGTATGCAGCTAAATTGTTAACATACACATAGGAATAAAATAATTTTACTTAATCCAAAATTAAGTCTTCCTCTCACCTCTCACTTCTGAACCCCAATCTCCTTCCCAGAACAACTGTTACTCATTTCTTCACTTTCTTTCCAGAGATAATCTTTGTTTATGCACACACAGATACATACATCAGCAACACATACAGGAGCTCTGGTGGCGTAGTGCCTGAGGCATTTGACTGCTAACCAGGAGGCTAATGGTTCAAACCCATCAACCACTCCTCAGAAGGAAGGTTGGGCAATCTACTTCTGTAGAGATACCACCTCAGAAGCCCAAGGAGGGGTCACTATAAGTCAGAACCAACTTGACAGCAGTGACATATATATATGTGTGTGTGTGTGTGTGTGTATTATATATATATATATATATGTATGTATAAAAAAACACCACACTGCTATCCAGTCAATTCCAGCTCATAGTGACCCTTATAGGACAGAGTAGAACTTCCCCATAGGGTTTCAAAGGCTGAAGTCTTTACAGAAGCTGACTGCCTCATTTTTCTCCCACAGAACAGCTGGTGGTTTGGAATCACCAGCCTTTTGGTCAGCAGCCCAATGCTCGAACCATAGCACCACCTCATTTCCATATATATATATCCGTAACTGCACTAAAATTTAAAAACACAAATGGTAAATGGGTATATGTGTGTTACACCTTAGGAACTGTGCTTCTTTGTTGTCAAGCAATATATCGGTGGAGACCACTCTATCCATGGGGCTGCCTCATTTTCCAATGGTTGCTGGATACCCCACTAGAAAGTACCAAAAATGGTTTCACTTGTCATTATTTGCGGGTATTTAGATTGTTTTCAACAGTTAACTCTTGCAAGTGATTCTGGAATTAGTTGGCATACAATGTTACAGTCATTAACCTGCCAATGTCTTCTGCAGGAGAATAATTTCATAGCAATGGAACAACTGGATCAAAAGATGAGGTGTGTGCATTGATAATTCTAAGACCTAATGAAAAATTGACCCCAAAAAGAGACTTTTTCTCCATAGTCTAACCTAGACAGAATCTTTACCATCTTTGATCTTTTTAAAAGGATAGACAAGAGGACTAATAGTTTCCTAAGAGTGAGGTGGAGCATGGTTATAAGTTATTTAAAATAATTTCTTTTCTTGAACCATCTGTAGTATTCTATCCCTTTAATAATATTTGGTTTCATGCTTTCCCACAACCACTCAAATCAACTCAGAAGAAAAGCCAAGGTCTTCAGCAGTAGATAGCAGTAAAGCTTCATAAAACAGAGTAAAGTATTCAATGGACATTTACTGAGCACTGACCTTGTGACAGGGCCTGTGAAAAAGTCAGGGATGCAGAGACCCAAGAGACACAGCCCTGGTCATGAGGAACTTCCAGGCTTGAGGAGACACGGAGCAAACGCAGGCTGCACAGCCCAGAGTGTCGAACCTCACTGGAACCATGAGTGTATCACAGAACACATGTTTCTTTCTACAACATTTCCCTTCTTGCAGGTAATTGTAAATGGCCAACACTGTTACAGCTTTGCCCACCGACTCCCGCCATCGTCTGTGAAGATGATGCAGGTGTGGAGAGATGTTGTCTTGACGTCAGTGGATACCTCCTAGGGAAGGAAGTGACCGGACTACTCATTGGCCAAGGGCTCCTTCAATCTATGTGGTCATTGTTAATGGAAAGGTCCCTCCTGACCCCTCCTCCACAATTGGTCATTAAAACCTCTGCAAACTTAACAGGATGCGGTTCTTGCTTAAGAGCAGGGAAGAGGGAAGAGAAAGTGGCCTTCACCAACTTGGGCAGGAGGTACTGTGGGAGGGAAACAAAAGGGAGTGTGTCTGTCTCTGATACAAGGAGTGAGTGCAGGATCACTGGAATGTCTAAGAAGACATTAACCACAACATCTTTAGATAGAATATTACTATGTACCGCTCTATGTGACCCCATTTCAGACAACTGTGCTGAGAAGATAAGCTGTTTTGTTTTCTTTTGTTGTTGTTGTGGCCAGAGCTTTAATTGCTTGACTTTAGGAAAGAACTTTGTGGAAGGAGGAGACTACATAAAATGTGAGGTTATTGTGAGTTGAGGCTTATTGGAAGCCATCTTTGGTTTCTGTATTTCATCCTCAGGCCCCAAAGGACTTACATCCCTCCTACATGCCAAGCACATCTCCCCTCTCAAGAGCACCCAAATTTCACACAAATAAAGCATCAGGCTCAGAATTGAAGTCCAGTATCTCAAAATTGAAATCAGGACCAGGTGCTTCTGAAGTGAATTGGGTGTTGCAGTGCAGTGAATTACTTGGCATGGCTTTTCTAGCCATAGTATTTGTAACTCCCACCAGATTACTGGCTGGCAGCATGCAAATAAGGTGTGTAGAACTCTGGTGTAGGGATTGGTTAGTTTTGCCATTCTGCAAGGCTTGAAATGAGCCCTCCTAGAGTCAGAGAGGGGATCTCACTGCCATCAAGAGAGAAGAGCTGGTGGCAAAGTACAGTGCATCCTTGGACCCAAGATCCCTGCGCTAGGCCTCCTCAGCAGAGATGCCTCTGCAGAGATAGGTACCCTGGCACAGAGACAGTCCCAGTGCAACCAAGAGGCATGAGACAGAGCAGCAGGCTTACCAGAGCAAGAAAAGCTGAGTGTCCTTGAGCAGGAGGCTTGCTGACAGAGTGGGATGCACCTAAGTATACCTATCAACAGAGCTAAAAGAGCTTTGTAACACTTGCCCAAGCAGGAAAGAGGCCAAGCTGAGAGATCAAGGACCAAAGAGAGATGTCTGAGGCCACAGCAGAGAAAAGACTGTCCTGATCGAAGAATTGCATCCTAAGCGTGTTCCTGAATCTGAATTGTAGTCTGTTACTTCCCTAATAGTCCCCATAATTGTGTGTATTATCTGTGAGTTCTATGTGGCCATTGCAATGAATTATTGAACACAGCAGAGAAGTGGTAAGTGCCGTGGGAGGGACAGTTGGTGTCAGAACTGGTAAAGGCTAAAGATGGCAGCATGTCTGGCCTCATAGGAATAAGCATTGGGCTGCTGATGGTGATTCTGTTTTCCTCTTGTGAAGTTAGAGGAGATCAGAAGACGCCACCTCCATGCCCTTTTTGCAGGTATAAATTCTCAAATATAGTTCATCTCAATGTGTGCACTAAAAGGTGGTCCTGCAGAGGAACATACAATAACTGCTCTGGCTTGAATGATCTCCTTCACATGGCCAATTTGTTATACTCATCTTTCTCCTGGAGCTCAAGGAGGCTGGTAGTGATGCCTCAGATACAAAAATATGACATAGAGTGTCCAGGGACCAAGGTTCAATTGAAAAAAAAAA